TCACAGCCTTGCTTGTGGTGGTGTTTATGGTAGCTTTCAAGTCAGTTCCAATTCTGATTCATGTGTGTATAGTAAAAATGCTCCATAGGGTTTTCAAGGCTGAGACCTGTCAGAAACAGATTGCAAAATCCCATCTTCTCTGAGTAGATTTGAATGCCAACCTTTTCTCTAGTAGTTGAGTCCATACTGGTAACTTTGTACTTGTCTGGGACAACTTCTAAGTGTAGTATCTTTGTTAGGCTTTTAGAAGATCCTCTATCTCACCTTTAACCTCCTTTTTTAAAATATAAGATATTCTTGTAGTTAACACGACTATACATTTTTCTCTTTATGTTCCTTAAACCCTTTTATAATCATTCCCTGCCACAGACTAAGACAGTAAATGAAGTGGAGGTATGTGAAAACATATACACCTGTAAGAGGAACATTTATAATAAGGAATATATTATTTTACCTAGGAACCAATTTACAATGTCACTTCATACGTTTTTCTTTTTCTTTCTTTCTCCCACCATTCTTCACTTTTCTTTTGTTCTTCTCTTTCTTCTGTTCTTTCTTTCTTATCTAAAATTACACCCTTAGGAGCAAACATTCCAGGTCATAACAAAGACTACTAGACCTATTGTACCACTTTTTAAAACCCAGGTCTTTCATTAACTTTATTTTATACCTTATCAAAATCAATAGGATTGAATTTATTTCAACATTCATTTTCCTCTCTGAGGTACCTGATTCCCAAAAGAATTAATAGACAAAATCATAATACCCTGGGTTTTGTCATCATTAAAATGAAGCAGAAGTCCTGGGTAAGCACTGGACTGCTAACTGCTAGGTGGTGGTTCAAACCCACGGTCCACTCCTCGGAAACCCTGTACAGGATCGATAGGAGTTGGAACTAACTCGATGTCACTTAACAAAAACAAAATGAAATACTGGTGTCAGTAGAGAATGTAAGTCCACCATAGTAGTTCAAAAGTCTTCTTGGATATAATTCACAATAAAACATTAAAAAAAAAAAAGTCTTCTTGGACTCAAAGACAGATCCCTGATCCTCCTATAAGAGCTCCTTGCACATGGTTAGCATTGTGTCTTCCCTGCAAGTATTCCATATATCTTATTTGCATAGTTTTATTATGTGGGAGTTAGAAAACTATGGGTTTTGTTGTTGTTATGTGCCGTGGAGTCAGTTCCGACTCCTAACGACCCTGTACAGGGTTTCCAAGGCTGTAAATATTTACGGGAGCAGAAAGCTTCATCTTTCTCCTGCGGAACAGCTGGTAGTTTCGAACTGCTGACTTTGGCGGTTCACAGCCCGATTCGTAACCACTATGCTACCAGAGCTCCTTAGAAAACTATGCGTAGAAGGGCCATATTATAACAATTCACTATGCTGCAAAGTTGAGCAAATTTCATTGTTCTTATTCTCAAAATCTGTGATCTCAGTTAATAAATTCCTTAATTGCTAGTTCTTATCTAAACCTTTTTCTCTTTTGTTGTCCTAAAATACTTAGTATGTACAATTTTACAGACACAATAAATGTGGGCTTAGCTAATATCAAATATATACATATATGCTCTTGAACTAGGTAAACTGTGTCAGAAGCCAGAGGCCATATTATAATCATTTTGATAGCTTCAGTGTATGAAATGTTAATGGTTTCAGTAAATGTTGATATATATATTCCCATTGGATATATGATATACCCATTATATAGTTATAAATCAAAGACTTCAATAGATAATACTAGATTAGTTTGAAGTGGAATAAAAATTTCTTTGCTCATCTATCTGTAGTCAGAAAGGTAATTTTGTATTTCCAGAGTGGTGTTACTACATCTGGTAGTTAAAAGATTTTTGTGATTACTTTCTTTATTTTTATAAATACTTTTTATGGAGGATTCCTGTTAGCAAAAGGTTTGGGACTTTGATGATTCAAAGTCACTGTTGTGTGACAAGTATTATTGTTTTGTAACAGATGAATGCTCTTGGGACTAATGCAGCATCCCTCTCACTACATTTCTCTGGTTTCTTCTGTTCTACATTCCTATGCCTTCTGTAAGTAAGTGTAGCAAAAGTTACACATCTGTCACTTCACTTCTGCAATGGATAGTAGAACAAACTATTGCAGAATTACACATTGCTAAAAGAAATCATTTGTTATTGTTACCAGGTGAGACTTGATTTACATGCGTGACACACAAGTGATTGCTTATATGCCTGTGGAATACAGTGCATAAACTTTGAGGTTAATTTTGTTACCTAAGTCTTAAATTTTTCTTTCAGGTTTTCTGATGAATAAATGTCTGAATAGGTGACGAGTACTTCATTAAACTGACATTTTCTTTTTACTTTATTAGGTAATTTCAAAAAAAGTAAGCAACTTCTTCATAAAGCTGTAGAATGTGGAGCAGTGCCCATAGAAATGTTGGAAATTGCTATACAGAATTTAAACCTCAAAAAAAAACAGCTACTGTCAGAGGAAGAAAAAAATGTATCAGGTAAACATGTTAATATTAATGGGCATTAATTTTTTTCTGTAATAGTACTGCAAATAGGATTCAGGATACTGTTTTATAGAAAAACATTTTTGTAAAATGCTCAATATTTAAATATAAATTTTACATGAGATAAATATTTTATACATAAATATTCTTCTACTCTTGAAGTTTAACTTTTTTTGTTAATCCAACTCCTATTGGTAGCATAAAAACAACTTTGTTTAGTAAGAGAGTGCCATTATGCTTTAGAACTAGAGAACAGAATAGAAGCTTTTTCTGTAACGAACGATAAAAGAATTAAGTGGTAGTGAAACTCTTTTGTCTCCATATTTTATTTTGAGACAAATATTTACTATGAATTGGCCTGTAAAATATTCATATTTGTGAGATTAAAAAATATATATACATATATTTCAGAGGTTCTTATAAATCTAATGTTTTAATTTTTTTAGTACCTGCACAATTAACTACCCAAGAATCATTCTCCAGTTCCCTTGGGCATTTACAGAATAGGAGTATCAGTTGTGATTCCAGAGGACTGGCTACTAAACCCAAGTTTTTGTATGGAGAGAACATGCCCCCTCAAGACACAGAAATAGCTCATCAAAACCCTGTGAAACAAACAAACAAAGCTAAACGGGTAAATTATTTTCAGTCTACTTTGGGTAAGGTGGAAGTCTTTGTTTATTTTCTAGTTGATTGATTATCCTAATCTTTTCAAACATTCTAGTTGTGCCCATTTGGAAGAGTCCCAGTTAACCTTCTAAATAGCCCAGATTATCATGGGAAGATGAATGGTTCAGTTGTACAAAGTTTTACCAAAAGGTATGTTTTTGTGTTGGTTTTTAAATTTGTTTTCAGTATTCAGAGATATGTTGCAGAATGTTCTTAAGGTCTTTTACTGGGTAATGTCATTTTGAATGAATTTTCATTCAATGTTAAAAGCTAAGAGTCTGTTAGGAGTAAAAGGATGAGTGGAGAAAATGTTTTGATTTTGCTTTTACACTTATTTAATATACTCATTAAAGGAACTATGTTAAAAATGGAGAAAGCATGGAGGAAAAATTACTAAGTCAACGCGAGGCTTAGAAGACCATGCAAACATCTCTGTGGCAAAAGCTCCTATGTTTGAGCATTTCTCACTTTGGGTAGTCTGTCAAGAGTTTCATCTTGCTATGATTGTGAGTCTCCATAGCAAACTCTTGAGATTCCAGAGGGTTATTTTTGCAAGTAAACTTTGGAAACACATGTTTTTGGGGTTTTTTTGTAAGTTGATGTCCTATCATTGAACTTCTATTTTATTTAGAGCTTAATTAACTAAATATCAATATGAGAAAAGCATTTTGGTTGTCAAGTTTAAGCCCAAAATGTTATATGAGGTATTGTTGCTTTGTTTATATCTATTCTATATACTTAGCAGAAGAATACAGGAGAGTGTCTCTTATTACAAACAAAAGGCAGTAGTTTTCCTGGTTCCTGTTGTAACAGATGGAACACTGGTGGCTGTGTTGAGCATTGGACTGCTAACTGCAAGATGTACGATTCAGACCCACCACCTAATTTTGTAGCATGGTCACTTTTGTACTAAAATTATGTCATTTTTTTAAAATGTGAATTTTTTTCAACAAAAGAGAAGTGTATATTGTTTAATAACTTACTTTATGCAAAATAAAAAATTACATTGAAAGGATTAATTTAAAATTAGGTGCTTTGATTTTTGAATAGTAGACAGACCGCTGGATCAGAATGCCGAGATTTGAGTTTGCCTGGATCTAAATCAAGTGGAAATGATTCCTGTGAATTGAGAAGTTTAAAGGTACTTCAATATTTAAACCATTATATGGAGCAAGAATTTCTGATCCAAGCTCCATGATACTTTTCTGGGAAAGGGTCCACAGTATATTGCATCTCCAGCAGTGTTCCTGATCCCCCAAGAAGCACAGGATCACCAATGGAAAGAAGTCTAGATGGTTTCCCCAAGGTTAAAGTGGTAGAAGAGTTACTGTGTATCTTTGTAAGGTTAGTGGGCATCGCTTTGGTAATAATTAGGGGACCCCCTGACGTCAAGATTTTATTTGCTTGTGTGTTTAATCATCCAAGTCTGCCTGATTTTCTACAAGGCTTATAGAAAAGCATGAGAATAGAGTATGAATTAGAGGTTAGAGGTTAGAGGTCAGGGTTTCGGTAATCAATCCTAATCTGATATGGCAGAACACTTTTTATGAGCTTTAAACAGGGCTTGCAATTGTAGTTCATAGAACACTTAGATTTTTCAAAATCCCTTTGAACCTCAAGGTGAGCAGTTCAAGCTCACCAGCTGCTCCTTGGAAACCCTATACAGAGTCACTATGGGTCGGAACCAACTCGATGGCACTTAACAACAACATACTTTTTATTATATTTGACTTAATCCCTTAGCATTATGATGTGGGTCTTTTTATTTTTATCTTATTCATAATGTCTCTATGATGGTCCATGCTTTGAAATAATAATACAGTTATTCAATTTGACTAATTTAGTTTTTGATGAATAGAATTACAATTACAAAAAAATTCAAAATTTTTCTCATCGTTAAGCATATGCTATGTTTGATTTAAACTTTTAACTCTTTTTAAGTGAGTATATTTTAGCAGCTGAATAATATGTCCATTGAATGCATATTAGCATTTATGGTTATGATACTTCTCACTGCTGTAATCTATAATTCAAGAAGTTAAATCTTTGCTGTGCATTTATGAGTTTTTATATGTAATTATGCTAGATAATTTTCACAGCATTCTTTTCACACTAATGAGACTTTAGTATATTGATTAGTCTAAAGACATAGTAGTATTACTATTGTCTGTAGAACTTTATTATCTTCTTTATGTCACATAGTCTGTTCAAAACATGCAGTCCAAGGAACCTCTGCTGTCAGACGAGAAAAGTTCTGAGCTTTCTACTGGTTCAGTAACTCTGAAGAATAAAACGGATTCAAGTCTTCTAACTAAATTAGAAGGTAATGGTGATAAAATAAATAGGCTCCTGTAATTAAGAAAACCCCTATTTTTGCTTGAAAAAGCGCATAAGCCATAGAAGAATTGTTGTAAGAATTTATCTGTGTTCCTTTATCTTTATATTTGAGTAGAATTGTATAGAATGTATTGTTGTGGTTAATAAGTGCCATCGAGTTGGTACTGACTCACAGTGACCCTATGCACAACAGAACAAAACACTATCCAGTCCTGGGCCAACCTCACAATTTTTGCCACACTTGAGCCCATTGATGCTGCTACTTAGCAAGTCCATCTCTCTGGGCATCTTCCTCTTTTTCTCTGACCGTCCACCTTACCAAACACCATATCCTTCTCCAGCGACTGGTCCCACTTGACAATATGTCCAAAGTATGAGAGACAAGTTTGGCCATCCTAGCCTCCCAAGAAGTACTCAGACTGCACTTCTTCCAACACAGATCTATTTGTTCTTTTTTCAGTCCATGGCACTTTCAATATTCTCCTCCAACACCATAACTCAAAAGCATCAATTCTTCTTTGGTCTTCCTTATTCACTGTCCAGCTTTCACATGCAGATGAGGTTATTGAAAATACCAAGGCTTGGATCAGGTGCTTCTTAGTCTCAAACTGACATCTTTGCTCTTCAACACTTTAGAAAGGTCTTGTGCCAGCCGATTTGCCTAATGCAATACGTCATTTGATTTTTTGACTGCTGCTTCGTGAGTGTTTATAGTTGATCCAAGAAGAATGAAGTCCTTGACAACGTCAATCTTTTCTCCATAGATAAGAATGTTTATTGGTCCAGTGGTGAGGATTTTGTTTTCTTGACATTGAGATTTAATCCATACCGAAGGCTGTGCTCTTTGATCTTCATCAATAAATATTTAAGTTCTCTTCACTTTTAGCTATAAATAGCTTATATCCTCTACCAAAAAAAGTTTATTTACCTAAAACTAACATAAAGTTGCATGAAGAAGGGAACGTACAATGGAGCTGAATTGTTTTTCTTAATTAGCTTGACAATGTGAAGGGGCTTCAAAAAGTTCATGGAAAATTCCATTTTCTTTTAATTTCATTTTTCTACAAACTTTTTAAAGCTCCCATGGCATTCTTTCTGGAAAGAACATGACACAGAAACTCCATGTTTATAACAGCCCTCTGTTTCTGCTTTTATCAAACGTTTTATTTTCTCCTTCATGAATAATACTATGTTAAATGCTCTAATTCACTGACAATGAGTCAAATGCGAGTAATAGGAGGACTGCAAGGTCCATTTAAACTACAAGGTCAGCAATTCAGGTTCACCAACTCCTCCTTGGAAACCCATACAGTGTTTCCATGGGTCAAAACTGACTTGACTGCCCTTAACAGCAATAAGGGTGTCTAAGACTATAAATCTTTGTAGGACCTGGAAGCTTCCCCTTTCTCCCAAGGAGAACTGATGGTGGGTTTGAAATATCCACCTTGAGATTAACAGCCCAGTGCTTATCCTCCAGTGTGACCAAGGCTCCTTGATAAATGCTCTAGGGATATATAAATGAATGGGACAGGGTCTTAAGGTTTCAATCTAGTGTGGGAGATATGCTGACAAATATAATGCTGCATAGAAAATAGAGTGTACCATTAAAGCCATATAAAGAAAATTTTATAAGGATGAAGAAGAAGAGTAGAAATTGAGAAACTACTTTGGTTTAGGGATCAAAATGAAATATTTAGTAGTGGAGTTGAAACTTGAAGAATTATCAAGATGCACCAATAAATAACATTATGATAAATCGAGAAAAGATTGAAGTTGTGAAAGACTTTATTTTTCTTGGATCTACTATCAACATTCATGGAAGTAGCAGTCAAGAAATCAAGCTACGTATTGCATTTGGCAAATCTGCATGATACCTCTTGAAAGTGTTGAAGAGCAAAGATGTCAGTTTGATGACTAAAGTGTGCTTGACCCAAGGCATTATATTTTCAGTAGCCTCATATACACTTGAAAGTTGACAGTGAATAAGGAAGATCATAGGTTAATTGATGCATTTGAGTTATAGTGTTAGAGAAGAATATTAAAAGTACCATTGCCTGCCAGAAGAACAAATAAGTCTGTGTTGAAAGATTGTCAGTCATGACTCATTGTGAATAAATAAGGTCAATCAACATCAGGATTTAAATAAGTAGAAGTGTAGTAATAAAAGTGATTTTAATGGAGACACTAGCATAAGCAAAAGGATAAAACAAGATGGCCCAGTGACACTACAGCCTATGCAGAAGTGGGAAATAATATTAGGCAGATTTCAATGTGAGGCTTGAAATTTTATAGTGTAGATTCTCACAACTCTATCAATAAGATGATAAATGGAAAAAAAATTGAAGTCAAAGAATTTATTTTGCTTGGGACCACAATAGTCACACATGGAAGCAGCAATCAAGAAATCAAACAATGTGGAGGTGGGGCAAGATGGCAGAGTAGGCAAAAAGTCTATGCAGATCTTCTGCAATAAAGATACAGAGAGCCAAATGAAAGAGATGCAGATGATAGTCCTGGAACTCTGAGCTTCAGATGAAGGGATAGAGAAGTAGATTAGAATGCTTTCTAGGAGAGAGCTGAAGAGACAGGTGACTTGTGCATGCCAACCAGACAGCTACAGCCATCTTGAGCTTTTTTGATCATCTTCCAAGAAAAGAAAACATGCTGTTGTTACAGAAACATACCTGTGACTCACAGAGATTAAGGTGTCTTTTTTGTTGTTGTTCTCTTTTTTTTTTTTTTCCTTGTTCTTCATTCTCCCTTGGTGACCACAGAGGAGAGGCTCTGACCCCCACCTGTGTACACCCCCCCCAGGGAAGCTCCCGCTTTCCCGGTGGTTAAGAGCTTCATGGAGGTGAGCGCCATGGTTGTTGGCCCAATTAAAGGATGGGGGAGCTATTCACATTAACCTCCAGATAAGACACTGCTGATCTGGGATGGCTAGCCAGGTGTGGTGTGGTCTTGAATATTCTAAGGCAATTTTGAAGGCAAGAGGGCAGTAGATGGGGCAGAAGCATACTGCTTATTGGTAGAGAGAATGTCTTGGATGCCATGTTACCCTGGTGACTAGAGGTGTGGCTGGTGCCCACCCAAGTACACTACCATACCAATGAAGCTCCTATTCTCAGGCTGTTAAAGTTGCATCGGTATTTGTGGGAAGGTAGCAGCACCAACTCCGGCACCTGGAACCAGGTGTGACCTGATCCAGACCTACAGAGCTGAGTCTGGTCAGCCCTTGACTAGCAGACCTCTCACCCTACAATGCCTTCTGGGTTGGAGATACCCTGATCTCTTAGGTGCTTTGTGGTGTGCATATACTTCTAACAGATTGGGTGACCTCCACAGACAACACCTAACCCTACTGGAACTCCCATTTGGGTTTGAGTGGTTACTGTCTCATCCCTTACCCACAATGTGAGGTCCTTGGCTCGCAGAAGAGCCTAGAATTCTCTCCTCTCTGGGTCTTGCAGCAGCTCTGGTTTCTTCCTTTCATTCTTTTTATTTGTTTATTCTTTCTTGTCTTTTCTCTTCCTATCTATCTCCCCTTTAATTTTTCCTTCATTGTTTGCTGCTTTCTTTTTTATTTCTCTGGTTTCTTTGTCTTTTACTCATTGGTCTCCCTGATTGTGTTTAGTTCTTGTTCTTTTTCTCTTTTTTATTATATTCCTCTTTCTCTCTTCGCTTTGGTTTTTGTGTTCTTTTACTAGCTGTTGCTTGCATGCTTTTATGTTTTCATATTTACTGTTTACTTTTTTACTGTTTGCTTGTTTCTTTGTTTTTCTCTTCTCTTGTGTTTGTTTTCTCAGGGTATTTCCAACCCAGAAGGCATTGTAGGGTGAGAGTTCTTCTAGTTAAAGGGCAAAGTAGTAGATTTAAATCAATGGAAGGCCAAATTAGTGAGCATGAAGATAAATCTCTCAAACTTAGTAAGCTAGAACAATCAGTAAAAAGAATGCGAAAATCTGAAAAAGGCCCAAGAGTCATATGAGACAACATGAAGAAGAATAACTTGTGTGTGAGAAATTCCAGAGAGGAAGAGACTAAACACAGAAAAGATAGTTGGAAGAAAATTCCTTTCAAATCATTAAAGACAAGAAGATAAGCATTCAAAAGCTGAATGAGGCCCAAACAGGATAGAGCCCTAAAGAAAATTACCAAGACATGTCATACTCAAACACTTCAAAATGAAAGGCAGCTACAAAGCCAAAGAATGAAAAGTATAGTTATAGAATTGCAAATGGCTAGGAAGTCAAGTAGATTTCAAGATAGAACAGACTTTTTTTAACTGGGTAATAAATTAATAAATTATAGAATAACTTTAAAGAAAATGAATACATCTTCACATGAGATCAAGAAAAAGAAAATTAACATACCTTCACATCAAATCAAGAAAAGGGAAAGGCAAGAAGATTTTGTTGTTGTTGTTGTTGTCAGGTGCCATCGAGTCGGAACCAACCCATAGCGACCCCATGCACAGCAGAATGAAACAATGTCCGATCCTGGG